AAATCACACGGTCCTATTTCTTATGGAGATGGTAACAAACTTCTCCACAGCGTTTTGAGCTTTATTACCCTACTAAACCACAATGTAGGTGAAGCGCTTTGCATATTTAAAAATAAAGCAACCAAAATAGTAAATCAAATTTCTTGTTTGGCTGAAACTAGGCATGGAAAATTTCAGCTCCCACAGAAGAAAACAAAAAAGAAAGCAAGTATACAAGTTACAAATAACATTAAAGACAGGACATGCTTCTGAAAATCCATTATGCCATTTCAACATAAAAAGTATTGTACTTAATTTACAAACGTAAATTGTCTTACCTTGATAATACTTCCAATATGATTCTGTTGTATTAATATATCAGTTAATTCCGCAGTGTTAACGGGAGCTTTTAGAAACAACTGGAAAATAAGAAACAAGTATTAAGATGTTTTAGACCTGATATTATATCATGGGCCACTTAGTAGAAAATAAAGTCAGCAATTTCTCTAAGTTGTTATGCAATACTTTCTTCCATTTTTAATTTCCATTTAGTGAGTTTGTTTGTTTATTTAACTTTCTTCAATCTAATACTGTAAAGACTAAAAATCAGCTGCTTGAAGCATGTGCTCCTTGACCCTCCACAAGCTGGCATTTTGCACACCTGGTATCCTTTTGAGTTTGGTATGATCTAAATGCTTGCTGAGCATAAGTTTACAACAGAAAAAGCTGAAAGACTGCAAGCTGCCACACTGAACAAACAGATTACTTGTTTTGTCTGTTTTTCAAGAGCTGTAGTTTACAAAAAGAGTTCTTGAAACCACAGTTGAGGAGACACACGTTCACTCTGGCTGTAACTATCTAATCTTCATGAGCTGGAGCACAGTAAAACTACGAATCAATACAGATAATATGAGCTTATGACTTTGCATAACTCTTTAGATATTATTTATTAACGGAAGTATCAACCAAGCTAACAAGAAGTCAAAGTACCTGTTGTAGTAATTTCTTTATCCCATTATAGTCATTGTCTGATATGGAATGTGCTTCGAATTCAATATTCACTTCCTAAGGAGAAGCAAAATACAGAATATCAAACATACTTGGCAAGAAGTTATATAAAAAAAAGCTAAACTATAACAAGGTTGAAGACAAGGAATAGTCAACATCAGAAATAGAACTTATTTCCACCTTTCAGTAATATCAGCAATTGTTACAGTTATCTTTTCTTCTGTAATCTTTAGGAAGTATCTGTGAAAGTAACTTTTTAAAACTAACTTACAAACTGTGTTGTGAACAAACCTGTAATGCTCTGTTCCTGCAATCTTGTTCACACAATTTTACTGTAGCCACATAGAATCCTACTGCAGAGGGGCCTGGTCCAGGCAGTTAAAACTCTTTAAAACTGCAGGATTGGAGTGTAATGCCTTGGCTGAAGATGAAGATTGCTGCAGACATTTCAATAATTACATCCAAAACCATACTTCTGCTATTTCCTTAAATCCTAATGGTGTCATTAACCCCATTCTGGAATTCTGTTCTGTCAGTCCGTTCAGTCAGCACATGATGAGACCCCATCACAACAAAACAGAATGTGAACTCCTGCTTCTCCTTCCAGCACAAGTGCTGCGCACCTACCAAACATTTTTACTGGTATTCTATATTACTAGTACTGCCTAACAATTCTTCTGTGAACCGCTGCTTGAGATCACCCAAATTTACTTTGCCTTTTGATCTGGACTCCACTTTCTGAATCATCTAAACAACTGAGCCTTAATTTTGTCACCAGTTAAGACTCTAACACTCTCCAATCACATACCGAAGTCATGGTCTTTACTGTCCACTGGGAGCACAGCCTTATAGGACTGGTTACAACGTAGAAAACAGGCATACAACCATTTGTTGGGGTGTGGAGGATAAAAATCGGGAGACACACTCAGATATTCTTCTATGGTCTAGTAAAGCAAGGAAGCTCTATAAAGGTAACTGAGAGCACATTACTTACATGAAAAGCTACCTATACGAGAAAACAGACTGTATCTTTGGTGTATACAGTATTCACTCCTGGCATCCAGGAACTTTTTGACTGCTTTAAAATTCAAGGATCTCACTGAATGATTAAGCCAGTAAATTCTGAAGAAAACACAGTTTACAGTGGTTCTGAATGCTGTGCAAATCACAGCCATAAAATTGATATAAACCACAGGAGCACTAGATGTTCTAACATTGGTCTTACTTCATGGCTTTTCCACTACCCAAAATAACAGCCTGGTATGAGAGAGTTTACAAACCCTCCATCTTTCATCTGTTGAAAAAGAAAAAGCAAATAAAGACTCATCATATATTTTGCTGTGTCCTGTTTTGTTACTGTGCACTTATTCTCATCCCTTTGCATCATATCCAACGCAAAGCAAGAGCCTACAGAGCAAGCTGTTATATGCAGAAACACTCTGCTACGCAGAACGAAGAGGCAAGCAAAGCTTCTTCTCAGCAACCGTCTGGTGATCATATTGCTGTTCTCAGATTGACAGAACTAAAACATGCTCCTTCATATGAAGGAAATATCTGCATAAATGAAGAGACAGTCCTTTTTCCACCTGAAGTGGAAAGAGATGAAGGGAAAAGCTAGTAAGGCAAAATTAAAAATGTTGAGAATTACAGAGAGACAATATCCTTTAAGTACATGACTGTACAAATTTCTAAGTCTGTACAGTTATAAATGTTCAATACATTTCTTTAACATCAGCAACACACACCTTGAGGTCTTATACAGGAATTGAGGGGAACTCAATATACCTTTCTATCAAGACTTCCAAACTGAAATATTGATATAAGATCCTCAAAAGCTGGACTACTAAATTAAAATAAGCATTACAGTGCAAATTTTATCCAGTGCACAATTGCAGAAACAACACAGTGGTGCACGGCAGTGCAGGACTCACAGAAACCATCCTGAAAACCCCTGTCACTGAAGATTCAAAAGACTTCATCCACAAACACCACAATAAAAACCACTGTCCCATCTTTATAATCCAGGAATCCTAAGCCCTTAAAAAAAAAGAAAAAAAAAGAAAAAAGGGATTCTTGCCATTACCTTTAAGTTCATAGTGTCTAGACACTAGTACAACATCTTGAATCAGTTTACAAACACTTGTACACAAAATACCAGCAGTGCTATTCAAGAACTTAATAAACTGAGATTAAACTAAGTCAGCACCAATTTACCATGTATGCCACGTTAAATGTGCTTTTACATCACACTAGCATGACTGATGACACAATTAAACCTATACAATTTATCGTGATATGGTTTTAAAAAAAGGGTTTTTTTATTTGCTAACGAGCTGAAGACTCATCTAAGAAAAAGAAAGGAAGATCATTAACTCAAAGTGAAATTCTAGTGAAGACAATGAAGTTAGCAAAATTTTAATTTTAAATGTACCAAGTTAAAACCAACGGATAGCTCTGGTTTTTTACTCTTTTAAGCCTTGTTAAAATGACAGATTACCGTATCATTTTAAGATTTTAATACGAGTTCTAAGTCAGTGCATATCTCTTCCTTTCCTAGAAAGAGGGACACCCCCCCAGTGTTCTGTTTCACAACTAAATCTGTTTTCACGTATGTCCAGGTGCAGCTCAGAAAAGAAATTCACACATTATTTCCTTGAAGTTGGGCGTTTATTCTTCTTTTGATACCCCCACCCCCCATTTCTTATACAAAAAGGAAATCAGAGCGAATTTTCTGTGCTGAAAGCATTATTTTCAAGCGGCTGCCTCCAGCCCCAGAGGAGAATGGACCGGACAGGCTACGGCCAAGGGCCAAGTCTGTACAACAGGCCGCGGCCTCGGGGATTCCGACATCAAAAAGAACAAAACAAACAAAAAAGAATTAAGACTCTCAGCAACAATTAACTGAGAACAACTTACGTCACCGATTACCGACATATACTGACACCTACGCTTTCCCACCGCAACTGGAGCCCACGGCCCCACGCTGGGCCGCGACCCGCGGCTCCCCTGCAAGAGGCTTTACGGGGGAACAACAGCCCCAAACAGCTCCCAGTCACGGCTTCGTGAGCCCGGCTGCTTGTTCTACTTATCTGCGGTAGAGCGAATCAAGAGAGGCGGGGAGGGCGCCGGAGCGGGGCAGGGGACGGCCGCGACACAGAGGCACCGCGGGCCCGTGG